ACTCTCGTTCAACTAGCTTAGTCTCTGTTCTCATGGAAGCGGGGCTAACTCTATACAAACAGCGTAAGATTAATATGGAAAAACTAAAGAGATAGGCATACTTTTTTAACGAGAGAGAGAGAGAGAGAGAAATGGGGTTTAACGTCCACTCGACACAAACTAGGTCATTTCAGGACTAACATATGGTTCAGTTTCATTTCCATAATTCGCTTGCGCGTAGGGGTCTTTAGCAGTGGGAGGAAACCGGAGGACCCAGAGAAAACCCACGAGGTTGGACGTGCGACCCTAATCCTTGTCACGTACAACCGGGGAACCGAAACCACGGCAGCTGACTCAATTATAGACTTTATGATGCAGCGCGCACGTGCCAACCATTCAGCAATCCCCCCCCCCCCCCCTTTTTAACGTTATGGACACTCAACTTTGCTTGCCCAACCTCGTGGGTTCCGCCGTGACCTCCGATTTCTTCCCAGTGCTAAAACTGCCTAGGCTCAAGATGACCTATTGTGTGTCGACTGAACGTTAAACCCACCCCCACCCCTCGCATCTCTAGCCTTTGAAAGGTGGCACCTAGTAAATGTTTAGGAGATTATTGATTCTTCTGATAGCCATATGAGTTATTTATCTATTTCAGAATATAGAAACGTCGATCATGATATTTCAGGTACCCATGAACTATTATATATATTTATCTGATGTCACGTTTAATGTAGCGGCATCATTTTTAACGCATGATGAGATACATGTCATATTAATGCCGATAATGTATACAGTCAATAAATAATTTTAATTTTAATTACAAATTTGTTTGTCATGAGTATAATTTACAGATGAATGGTCAGAAAACGACAACCATTAATTATGAATTGGACATGTGGGTCATTCTCCTCCTGGTATAAATAATGGGAGTTTGGACAGATTCGTCCAGCGCCAAAAGAAAACTAACGGTGAGTGTCCATCAATGTCTGCATAGTTTGTTTTGTTCTTGGTTAATACGTTTCTCTTTTTTTTTTTGCATCTATACACTCTACAAACACAGGTGTTGAAACCACACAAATTTGTTTTAATTATTTTCAGAGAGAGGGGGAAATGGGGTTTAACGTCCACTCGACACAAACTAGGTCATTTCGGGACTAACAAATGGGTCATTTTTATTTCCATAATTCTCCTGCGCGTAGGGGCCTTTAGCAGTGGGAGGAAACCGGAGGACCCGAAGAAAACCCACGAGGTTGGACAGGCGACCCTACTCCTTGCCACGTACAAACGGGGAATCAAAACCACGCCAGTTGTCTCAATGACAGACTTTATGATACAGCGCGCACGTGCTAACCATTCAGCCACCCAACCCCCCTTAATTATTTTCAACACAAGTTAGGGGTTAATATTTAAAGATACATTATGGGAGATTAGATAAAGAGCTGACAGTTCTCACCATAATAGGTACAAATTTCAGTCCAATGGATCTACTCTGTCTGAACCGAGATTTTAGCGATTGAATTTTCGGCCTAGCCTCGATCATCATTACTAAAGTCGGTACGATAGAAAACGTGAATGGAAATCGAACAGCAAGTCGGGACCTGATCCAATAAATATCGCAGGCTAGCGATGACATCGAGAATTGATTATGGCCTTGATAGGTTAATTAATATCTAATTAATAATTTAGATAACATTTCAGGCCTAAAGAAAGACCTGCAAATAGGCAGATTTAGCTCTTGCATAATGTATGTTTAACAAAAAAAAACGTGTGTTGAAACAAGGCAAACATGTGTTGAATATGAAATCAACAAAAACGTGTGTTGAAACAAGACAAACTTGTGTTGAATTTTCCAAATATCATAAGTTTGGAATCCAAAGGAGAATAGGTGGACATACGACTGTCCGGGCAAACTTCCTTTAATTGACAAAAATGTTAACTAAGTTGTCTGGTAAATGTCTATTAGGGCATTTCAATATTCCAATAGTCCAACATTCGAATTCGAATAGAGACTACAGTTTTTACAATATTGTTTTCTAATTTGGTTTGAAGCCTTGAAGTCTATTGACGAACTCTATTGATTTTCAACGCTGTGCTACCTTCAGTTCACGAGTTATCTTCCCTTAGCTGAAAACTTATTTTAACAGATTTTTCAAATTTGACGTGAAGCATCGGAGTCATGAAAAGACGGTTACTCTGTTACGGAGTTACTCCCTTGCTTGAAAATAATTTTCCAAATTTGGTATTTACCATTAGGTTAATGAGAGCCTAAACCTTTCCTTCTAGACCTAATCCCCACCCCCCCCCCCCCCAACGCAAAAAAAAACCTTTCTGAAAATCTTTTTATTATGTTAGCAATTACTACAATTTTTTAGATTTTCAAATTTGGTATGAAGCATTGGGTTCATGAGAGTCCAAATCTTCCCTTTCGGACCCCCCCCCCCCCACACACACACACACACACACACCACCACCACCTTGTTAACGCAGATGGACTGACAAGGACAGCTGTCTAGTCGTTCGGATGGGACGAAAAACCGAGGTCCTGTGTACACATTGGCGCGCACGTAAACGATCCCTTGACAGTTGGAATTCGATATAAGAGTAGGCCGTAGTGCTGCTGTCCGGGCAAACTTTTCCCTCATAGCACACTGTATGGCGTATGCCCGTCTTCATTAGCCTAGTTCGGAGCAGAACAGTAGGACGTTAAACCCCTTTCATTTGTTAACATGTTAGTTAGCGTTTACAGTTTTTCAAATTTCATGTTAAGGTTTTGGTCTGTGAAAAGTTTTAATCCTATTAATTTTAAAATATGGTTTGAAGCATTGAAATCGGTAACCACGAACCCTGATGATTTTAAATAATTACTATTAAGGGCCCGGAAGGACTTGGGAACATGATGGAGATTTCGAAAAGAACCCTAGATCCTTATTAAATTTGGTCAACATCCAAGTTTTTCTTTAGATAAGCTGCTTTGTTGGCGTATTTCCAAGCTTTGTGTTGCTATCTTTTAACATATTTTTCACCATTTTTGTCAAAATATAAAAATTGTAGCTGTGCTAATTAGTTTTGACGATTTCCATTATAGAAGATGATTTATTTTTACAATTCCATATATAATGTTACGAGATAAAATATATATTGTGCGCAATAGAATTAATAGAATCGCTCATGTTAAAGAGAAGTGTTGCTGTTCATACTGATGTGACAGACTAAGTTAAAGATATATTATGGGAGATTCGATAACGAGTTGGCAGTTCTCACTATAATAGTTAAACTAGATAATGTAAAGGCAATTTGCTGAAAATTTCATTCAAATTGATCCACTATGAACCGAGAACTAAGCGATTGAAATTTCCGCCTAGCCTCGATAATCATTACTAAAGTCAGGACGATAAACAGCATAGTCTCGATTATTCAATTAATCGTTAAAGCGTGAAGGAAAGTTATGCAGTAAATCGGCTCATAATCCACTAAAGGTAGCAGGTTAGCGATGCCATCTAGAGTTGATTATGGTCTGGATAGGTTAATTAATATCTTATTAATAATTTAGATAACATTTCAGGCCTAAAGAAAGACCTGCAATAGACAGATTTAGCTCTTGCATAATGTATGTTTAAACAGAATGCAAACATAAGATTAGGCTAGATTCGACCCGGTGTTAGGCGGAAAATTTCCCTTTGGTGCAGGATGGAGGACTGGACAAAGACCCCGTGTACCCGTTGGCATACACGACAGATAACCTCTGGCAGTTGGAATTCAAAAAAAGTTATGGCCGTAGCACCCAAGTCCGGGCAAAAGCGCCCGTCTTCCTTAGCCCAGTGGGTGCATAATAGTAGACCGTTAAACCCCATTTAATTTATTATCGGACTGTTGCAACAGAAATACCCACAGTGAAAGAGGATCAGGTTATTGGTAAATTCGATGATTATTGATGCTATACTCCCAGTTTCATTTGGTCCACAGAGCCACGGTGGCTCACTGAGTAAGATGTTGGCTCGCTAACCGGGGATTTTCCGTCGTAGTTCCCCCTTGTCATTGGTGCAAGGCGGAGGGTCTGGCAAGGGATATAGTCATTTGTTTGTGTACACATCAGCCTGCACGTAAAAGAACCCCTCACAGTGGGAATTCGATATAAAAATAGGTTGTATTGCAGCTGTCCAGGTATAATAGCTATCTATTAGCACAGCCGGCGCAGACTAGTAGGACGTTTAACCCCATTTCATTTCATTTGGTCTACAGATTAGATATTGACCGTATATTTGCAATCAGTTTTCTCTTCAACTTAAATCGTCCAGTTGATACTTTTTAAACATACGTCCAGTTGGTTTGTGTGGGTTTATTTCATGGGAGACATGAAACTTCCCAAAAATTTACACCCAAGAGCTGTCTATACATGTATACAAAAAATGCCAATCGTCCAGCTCTGTCACACTGCTAAAGACCCCTACGCGCAAGCGAATTATGTTAATAAAATTAAACCATATGTTAGTCCCGAAATGACCTAGTTTGTGTCGAGTGGACGTTAAACCTCATTTCTCTCTCTCTCTCCAGCTCTGTCACGACACTCACCTAACCGACATCTACACCAAAGTCTCAAATTGCCTGCCTGAGCCCTGCTCAGTCACGGCACTCACCTAACGGACATCTACACACAAGTAACAAAACAAAAAACTTATTATCGAACTCATTCAAGGCATTCGCCTAAATGAACAGCTACATTCACCCTAACGCAAAGTAATTGTGTCCAAAAAAAGTGTGGCGGACAGAAGATAGACAGTTTTACGGACAGGCGAACGTACTTATTTTAGCAGCCCTCTACATTCTTCGAAAGGTAGGCAACAAAAATCGTCATAACACTTTAACTGGGAAATTGTATTAGTCATAATTCTCAGCTCACTGTAAGGGCCAATAACAAAATATCATTTTATTCAAAATTATTTTTAACGCCTTTCATAATAGCCAAGCTGTGAACAACACATTTTTTGTTAATCATTATAATATGAGTCTAGATGCTGGTACTGATAGCAATCACTATAAATACGTTAACTAAAACATTCGGTCATTATTCTGTTGGTGAAACGAATTAGAGAAGGTAAGTGTATTAGCTTACTGATGATCTGTATATTAGGTTCGATCCCGGTGATGGTCCAGACAGTTCTTAGGGAGTTTCGAGCCTGATTCCCCTTGTCAATATGGTGTATTAGGTTATTAATGCTAATTATTTTAGGAGCCACGGTGGCTCTGTTCGTATAGTATAGCGCTGACTCGTTGTTGGGAAAGACAGTTCTTAGGGAGTTTCTAACCTGATTCACCTTGTCATTAAGTGTATTACGTTATTAATGCTAATTATTTTAGGAGTCACGGTGGTTCTGTTAGTATAGCGCTGACTCGCTAACCAAGACGTCCCGATCCCGTTGTTGATCCAGACAGTTATTCGGGCGTTTCTAGCCCGATTCCCCTTGTCAGTATGGTCTATTAGGTTATTAATGCTAATTATGTTCGATCCTGTTGTTGGGGGGGGGGGGGGCAGTTCTTCGTAACTTTCCAGCCTAGTTCCCCGTAGTGGTGCCAGACAGAGAGTCTGGTATGTAAAAATTGTCTAGATGTTAGGATAGGACAGAATACCGTGCACTTGTAGATGAACACTTAAAAAAGCCTTTAAAGCGATAATTTCATATTTTCTAAGAAAGTCAAAACATAATTATTTCTTTGTCTTTTGCTCAATAGGTTTTCAACTCACTATTATACGATCATAGGTATTATTCTCCCACTAAAAAATCCTTTGACCCTGGAAATAATAACACAATTACCTCTCTTGTTTTCCACCCACCCCCCCCCCCCCATGGAATAGCTATCTTCAAACGTTTGAATTTGAAGTTGAAAATGATATTTTTGCCAATTTCTCAACTGGCAATAGTGAATTATAGGATTAATAGGATTATTCTTTAACAAGATAGGACTGTTTATAGATACCATCTATTTTAAGGCTTCATTTTAATACATTTTAAAAATATAACTTAAAAATATGAAATTGCAACTTTAAAGTACGCATGCAAACTATGAATGAATAAACGAATGAAGGAAATAGGGGCTAACTTGATACTAGTCTGCATTAACTGGGCATGCGCCATATAGGGAGCTGGGGAAATACCCGGACAGCAATTGAATTGTCATGGGTTTTTTGACGTGGACGCCAACCTGTAAATGCAAAATATGCCTCATGGCAAGTTGTGTGTTCGATTACCGGCTTGTGCGAGAAAAGGAGTGGATCTGAAGAGCAAAACAGCGGCTTACTCGCACGCATTTTGTTTGTGTTGACTGAACCTTAAATGACATGAAATAAAATGGGGTTTGAAATCAAATGAAATGAAATGGGGTTTAACGTCCTAATGTTCTGCTCCTATACTGGGCTAATGAAGACGGGCATACGCCATACAGTGTGCTATGAGGGAAATTTTGCCCGAGCAGCGGCACTATCGCCTACTCTTATATCGAATTCCAACTGCCAGTCTCATCCGAAGGACTAGACAGCTGTCCTTGTCAGGCCCTCCGTTCCGCACAGCTGACAAGGGAAAACCACGTCGGAAAATCTGGATGAACTTTTTCGGCCAATGAAGGGATCGAACACCCGACCTCCAGGCTAGCGCCAGCGTCTTAACCACCTAGCCACCGTGGCTCAAATGGGATTTAACGTTGTAGTAATCTGTTGACAGGACGTAACGGTCCTCTCCCAATATGCCTCTAAAATAAACGCAAATTTTTTTTCACAAAATAAACGTATTTTTTTACAAAAAAAAAAATAATAATAATAAAATCGCCAAGGAAAAAGTTAACACTGAATAGGTCAAAAGAAATAATATCTTTACTTATAACTTGAACATCATTCCATTAAAAAAAAGTCAATAATTTAATATGACCCACACCTGTCGTGCTAACTGTGTAATACCTTATTAATATATGTTAATATTTTATACCACCTATGTATTTATTGTAATATAGAAACCAGAACGGATATTGTATATTTTCTTTAATCAAAAAATGTCAGTGAAGTATCTTTTTTATTAATCTTTTAGAGGCATTTAGTAACTGGATAGCTTGGTAAAGTTGAGAGAATACTCTCCAAAACGTCGCCTAAATAACTAAGTAGCTGTTTTGCCATAAGCATGTGTCATTATTTATTGATAGAGGCATTTAGTAACTGGATAGCTTGGTAAAGTTGAGATAATACTCTCCAAAACGTCGCCTAAATAACTAAGTAGCTGTTTTGCCATAAGCATGTGTCATTATTTATTGATAGAGGCATTTAGTAACTGGATAGCTTGGTAAAGTTGAGATAATACTCTCCAAAACGTCGCCTAAATAACTAAGTAGCTGTTTTGCCATAAGCATGTGTCATTATTTATTGATAGAGGCATTTAGTAACTGGATAGCTTGGTAAAGTTGAGAGAATACTCTCCAAAACGTCGCCTAAATAACTAAGTAGCTGTTTTGCCATAAGCATGTGTCATTATTTATTGATAGAGGCATTTAGTAACTGGATAGCTTGGTAAAGTTGAGAGAATACTCTCCAAAACGTCGCCTAAATAACTAAGTAGCTGTTTTGCCATAAGCATGTGTCATTATTTATTGATAGAGGCATTTAGTAACTGGATAGCTTGGTAAAGTTGAGAGAATACTCTCCAAAACGTCGCCTAAATAACTAAGTAGCTGTTTTGCCATAAGCATGTGTCATTATTTATTGATAGAGGCATTTAGTAACTGGATAGCTTGGTAAAGTTGAGAGAATACTCTCCAAAACGTCGCCTAAATAACTAAGTAGCTGTTTTTCCATAAGCATGTGTCATTATTTATAGATAGAGGCATTTAGTAACTGGATAGCTTGGTAAAGTTGAGAGAATACTCTCCAAAACGTCGCCTAAATAACTAAGTAGCTGTTTTTCCATAAGCATGTGCCATTATTTATTGATATTTTTTTTATTGTTGAGCGCTACGCCAAAACGAAATGAAATGAAAGAAATTGGTTTAGTGTCCTACTTTTCTGCTTCAAACAGTGTTAACTTGTGTGGTTTCGATTCCCGATTGTACGTGACAAGGAGTAGAGTCGCCTTCCAACCTCGCGGAGAGTTTTCACCGGGCCCGCCGGTTTTCTCCCTGCACTGCTAAAGCGAATTATTGAAATAAAACTGAACCATATGTTAGTCCCGAAATGACCTAGTTTGTGTCGAGTGGATGTTAAAATTATTCACTCATATCACACTGTATAACGTATGCCCGTCTTCATCAGCCCAGTCGGAGTAGAACAGTAGGACATTAAACCCCATTTCATTTCATTTTCTTTATATCAAGCTAGATTTGTGAAGGCCAGTTTGGTCTTGTCGGGGATGGTGTTCGTCTAGCTGTCGGGGAAAGGTGTGACGCAAAACCAAAGTCCACCAGTGTAAACGGTATCCTGCATGTTAGGAAAACTTAAACATACATTATGCAAGAGCTAAATCTGTCTATTTCAGGTCTTTTTTTAGGCCTGAAATGTTATCTAAATTATTAATTAGACATTAATTAACCTATCCAGACCATAATCAACCCTAGATGGCATCCCTAGCCTGCGATCTTTAGTGGATTATGAACCGATTTACTGCATAACTTTCCTTCACGATTTAACGATTACATTGATAATGATGATGAAGGCTAGCCGGAAATTTCAACCGCTTAGTTCTCGGTTCATGGTGGATCAATTTGAATGAAATTTTCAGCAAATTGCCTTTACATTATCCAGTTTTTAACTATTACAGTGAGAACTGCCAACTCGTTATCGAATCTACCGTAATGTATCTTTAATAACAGGAATTCGATTAACCGCAGCTGACCTTATAGCTTTCTCTTCCCTGACATTGAAATATTTATTTTATGTTAGTTGTAAAGCGGCCGGTGTATTGTGTTACCGAAACGTTAAACGCAATAAATAACTTTCCCTGGAGGTGACTGAGAAAGAAAGAGTGAAATAGATCCTGATAATTTTTTAGCTAGATTTGTATCATGGATGACACTTGTTTTCCCAAATGAAAAACAGAAAAAGGAACGAGCCGATCGTCATTTTCCTAGTAAGGATGACGTCATGTCAGCTGTGAACGAATTTTTTAGGATGCTGGAGAAAATTTCTTCCAACTAGACTTTGCAACATCGTTGGCAAAATTGTGTACACCTCGAAGGGGACCATGTAGTAAATTAAATGGAAACCATGGACTTAGTACAGGTCTTTCACAGACAGGCTTAAAACTTGTCAGCCAGCCCTCATATATTGATAAAAAATATCTAGATATACATTACTATTGTCTGAATCATGATGACTAATAAAATGATAACAAATAGTGGTTAGTTCTTATCCTAGTTCTTGTCCGCCCCATTACTTTATGATCTAGCACGCAAGCGTTAGTCCGCTCAACCAAACACCCACCCCACCCACAACACCCCAGCACAAACCACCCCACCCACAACACAACCCACGACACCCACAACACAACCCAAAACACCTGGATGTGATCGATATTAATCCATTTAATCAATTTCTTGTTGTTTTCAGACTAATTCAGACTAAATCCACCATGGTCCCGGTCAAATTCTTTATTGTCGTTATCCTTGGTCTTGCAGTCACCGATGGTAAGTTGTAAAATCTCTCTCAAAAAGGAAAGAGTGTAGCCGTTGAGGCTGATTGAACTTAATTAGACCCCTTCACGCGTGTGAATTATTGAAATTTAATTGAACCACACGTTAGTCTCTCTCTCTCAGGAATTCGATCTTTGCATTGATAATGTATTTCGTTTAGCAATGATTTTTTCAATGACAGAGAGAGAGAGAGAAATGGGGTTTAACGTCCACTCGACACAAACCAGGTCATTTCGGGACTAACATATGGTTTAATGTTTTTATTTATTTCAATAATTCGCTTGCGCGTAGGGGTCTTTAGCAGTGGGAGGAAACCGGAGGACCCGGAGAAAACCCACGAGGTTGGACAGGCGACCCTACTCCTTGTCACGTACAACCGGGGATTCGAAACCACGGCAGTTGACTCAATGACAGGCCTTATGTTACAGCGCGCACGTGCTAACCATTCGGCCATCCACCACCCTCCCTTTTTCAGTGACGTAAATGGTCTAAAGTTTGCTCTTTAGATCATAATGCTTCGGTTCCCTGTCCAACCTCGTCGGTTTGCCCCCGGGCACTCCGGTTTCCTCCTAATGCTAAAGCCTCCTAAGCGCAAGCGAATTATCGAAATTAAATCGTACCATATGTTGTTCTTGAAATGACCTAGTTTAATCATGTGTTAGTCCCAAAATGACCCACTTACTGTTTGCTCCCACATGCTAAAGACCCCTGCGCGCAAACGAATTTTTAAAATAAACTTGTACCATATGTATGTCCCGAGATGACCTAATATATCTTCTTTTCCTACACGAGAACCCGTGTAAACATTGGCGTGCACGTAAAAGATCCCTTGCCAGTTAGAATTCGAAATAAGAGTAGACTGTAGCGCCACTATCTGGGCACAATTTTCCTCATAGCACACTGTATGGCGTATACCCGTCTTCATTAGTCCGGTCGGAGCAAAACAGTAGGACGTTAAACCCCATTTCATGTCTTTTCCTGTACCCAGAAAGCATTAACTAAATCAAATTAAATTATTTCTATTTACAGCTGCTTATTATTACACTCGATTATTTATATCCAAGTCTATACCTGTTACAAGTGGTAACACCAGGGTGCCTTTTGATACAGAAGAAGCCGATTACGGTAATCTGTATGATGATGACACAGAGAAACTGACCATTCACGATACTGGAAGGTTAGTACATTTCACTGTTTATCACAGGGTTAAACTCTTCTGGAACACGTGTAGTACTACCGGACTTCTTTATTTGTTGTGTTCCTTGTGATCGTAAATAATACTACAGCAACAATGATTTCACAGCTTTATTAGTAAACTGGAAATAACTTTGCAGGTTCCTCGTTCTCAATGGTAATGACTGGTAAGAATTTCTGGGTGAGCTCTAATCTAGCTCTCCTCTACACCCTAATTTATACCCCCTATTTTCCCAGGTCTTTAATAACCTTGACGTGAATTTCCACGCCATATAAGGAATAAAACTTTATATTTCCCACAAACAAGACAGGCAACATTACCTATTTTTGGTCAACCGACCATAGGTCAATAAACAGCTAGAATTTGTGGACTATTTTGACAATGATTATAATTTAACTAAAACATCACTGTTTTTTACGAACAACTATAACCACGTTCATTTAGTACTTATGATTTGACTTTATAGACCAAATTGAAGAGACAATTTTATAAAGAGCCAAAATTGTCTCAAGGGCCATAGTGCTACATACTGTAGTCGTTGTGGCTCAGCGAGTAAGAGAGAGAGAGAGAGAGAGAGAGAGAGAGAGAGAGAGAGAGAGAGAGAGATGGGTTTAACGTTCACTCGACACAAACTAGGTTATTTCGGGACTAACACATGATTCAATTTTATTTTAATAATTCGCTTGCGGGTAGGGATCTTTAGCAGTGGGAGGAAACCGGAGGACCCGGAGAAAACCCACGAGGTTGGACAGGCGACCCTGCAACCGGGGAATCGAAACCCCGCCAATTGACTCAATGACAGACGGTATGATACAGCGCACACATGCTAACCATTCGGCCATTGGCTTACTAACATGGAGGTCCCGTTTTCGATCCCGGTGTTGGCTGACATTGTTCATCGGAATTTTCAATGGTACAGGACCGAATGCCTGGCAGAGGACAGCGTATAGTCATTGGCGCATGCCCGTCTTCATTAGCACAGTCCTAACAGTAGGGCGTTAAACCCAACCACATTTCATTTATTTCTTCCGTGAACACTAAGTCTTTGTGGATTAGAAGGCCATTTCTCTCGCGTGAGTTTCATAATTTCACTTTTATAATAGTAAGTGTTTCCTGCCCGATATCCAACCTCGTGGGTTTTCTCCGGGTCCTCTGGTTTCCTCCCACTGCTAAAGACTCATAGACGCAAGCTAATTTTTGAAATATTAAAATAAAATTGAACCATGTGCTAGTCTCGAAATGACCTAGTTTGTCTCGAATGGTCGTTAAATCTAAACTCTCTCTCTCTCTCTCTCTCTCTCTCTCTCTCTCTCTCTCCCTCCCTGTCTCTCTCTCTCCCTCTCTCCCTCCCTCTCTCTCTCTCCCTCTCTCTCTCTCATACCATAACTGTTAGCTTACTTGCGCGCGGCTACTTAAACAAATATTTATTTTAGGATTGACTTTCTTTTAAAGCTGCTCTAAACGATACTTCTATGGGGAATAATATGTACAAAGCTGTTATTAATGTATCTCCCATTACGCGTTTATAATTCAGATTAAAATCGAATGGGTCTCGCTCACTCACATATTAATACCATGTACGTCACCTTGTAACTATTTATAGTAAAATTAGCAGACTAAATCAAAATTGGAGAGTACCATTGGCCACTGTATCTCAAAAGGGACGACTGCGCCTTAAGCCAAGAAAATGGAGGCGGTGAAATGGTCTGCTCGCTCTTCCATTTTCACCCTATGCTCGACTCATTGAAATGAGCTAAATCGCTAATATTTGGGACCCAGAAATTGACACAAATGGGTAGCACTGCATATATTAATGTAATATGAATGTATACAAACTGATTTACATTCAATCGTTTCCGTTTTTACTCTAGTTTCAAAACAGTTATGTTCGGCGAAATACATCAGAAGTCTCAATCAAATGGCAATTTCTAACGTCTGTTTATTCCAGTCTACACCGACAGTATTTATTGCGCTTGCTCTCCAGATAAGAATATATTGTCACCTTTTGACATAACTTGTGGAATATGTCTAGTTCTTCGAGTTCCTTGTTACAAATGGCACCGAAACGCATTATGGTACACGATTGTCTTAAATATTGGATATCAGACGCCCATCATTTCCCTGTAAGATCACAACACCAGTGTTGATTTAAATTGAGAAATAATTTGGGGTTTTTCAATGTCGAAGGAATGGATGATATTGAGTTAGAGACTTAGCTACTTTAAGACTGGCTTTTCTTACAAGTCTCCTAGGAGACACGTGGCTGCGAAGGGCAAAAATACGAAATCGATGTTTTCGTTTTTTCATCCAAAGTAACCACTGAGCAATCGTGAGTTTTGAAGTTTAAACACGTTTTCACCCAAATCAAAGGGAGAGAGAGAGAGAGAGAGAAATGGGGTTTAACGTCCACTCGACACAAACTAGGTCATTTCGGGACTAACATATGGTTTAATTTTATTTACATAATTCGCTTGCGCGTAGGGGTCTTTAGCAGTGGGAGGAAACCGGAGGACCCGGAGAAAACCCACGAGGTTGGACAGGCGACCCTACTCCTTGCCACGTACAACCGCGGATTCGAAACCACGCCAGTCGACTCAATGACAGACTTTATGATACAGCGCGCGCACGCTAACCATTCAGCCATCCAACCCCCCTCCCAAATCAAAGGGATCATTTCTCAATTAAATACAATAAAAATAAGATATAAGGGAAGATAGGATAGAGGCATACAATCTGTAGAAAGTTATAGGATATAACCTCCGTTATGCTAGGTTCACATGGTCGTGCGATGTGTCCCGATAGGATTGTCCCTATAGAGTCCACGAATCGTGATAGTGGGAACCTGGCTTAAGAATTCATCAATTTGAATAACTTAAATCCGTTGAAGTCCGGTGATGTTTGGAGATGAACAAATTCTGGAATATTACCTTAATACCAACGTCTTTCGATCCTTTAAATATTCAAATTAAAGATGCATTATGTAAGATTTAGATACAGAACTGGTCGTTATTGTTGTAATAGTTTTAAAATAGATAATGAGAAATGAATATATTGAAAATTTCATTCAAATTACTCTATTGTGGAGATCGTTCATTATCGCAGCAACGTTACTTGTTAATAGAGACTCATTTTTAAATTAAATCATTAAATGGCGATCATACATCTGCCACCGATGGTCTAGTTGATTATAGGCTTGTCGCGTCAATAAATGTCTAAAGAATAACTATTATAACATTTGAAGCCAAAATGAAGATCTGCAATAGGAAGATTTAGCTCTTACCTATTGCATCTTTGAACTTCACGTGGCTACATGTTAAACAAACACGTGACAACCAACTTAGATCCTTGGTTATTGCCAGGTTGCAGGGCTAATATTATTTCCATTCTTTGACGATGTCATTATCGGTCTGGAAACTTTATGTTTTCCGTCCCATCCGAACGACTAGACATTTGTCCTTGCTGGGCCCTCGGTCCTGCACCACTGACAAGGGGAAACCACGCAGGAAAATCCCGATGAACTTTCTCGGCCAACCCCAGGAACGAACCCGCGAAATCCAGCCTAGCAAGCCAGCGTCCTACCCACATTAAACCCCATTCCATTCATTCATGTATGAACATCTTTCAACTTCAAAATTCACATTCTGTTTTTCAGATCTTATTACGAAGTCCATGTAAAAGTTAGTGAAGTGCAAAATTCTCGGGTAGATGTTCTGTTACAAAGCAATGGTGAAGAGACCGTGATCGCAACCTGCCAATTTGATGACCGTAATATGTGCAAAATTAGCCAGAAAACATCTTTTAACAAAGGTGACGAGATCAGTGTCAATTTGATAACAGATGTTGACACTACGATAGAGAAAGAAGGAACCTACATCTTCTTGGCCTCGCGTTAAATTAATAAGCCTCCAAAGGCAGAATAAAATAAATGATCAATTCACAGCACGCAAATATCTAGATTTAAGAGTTGTTAATCAAAGATGCATTATGCAAGATTTAGATACAAAACTGGCCGTTCTTCCAATAATAGTTAAAATATAGATAACGAAAAATGCATATTGAAAATTTATTCTGGGCAGAGTCTTGACTGTTTGAAGATATCGCGCAGATCGTTTATTATAGTAGCAACGATAAACTTAGCCGCGATTATCTATTTTATTTTTAAATTTTTAAATCTCGCGGATGTTCAATTTCATTTAAACCTCGACCATTCGATGGTCAAGTGAATTAATTATAGGCTTGGTTTGTAAATAAAGGTCTAAATGATAATTTAGATAACATTTGAAGCCAAAATGAAAGATCGGCAATAAGCAGATTTAGCTCTTACATAATGCATCTTTTAAAAAAAATGTTCAATAACTGATCAGTATTGGCGTCCAAAAGTTACACCAAGCTGTCTAAACCATGAGGTCTATTACTGAGGTAAATGGCGTTGATGTAGTTCCAGGCCTGTATGTGACAAGGGTGAGGGTCGCTTTCCTAATGTGGGTTTTCTCCAGGTACGATCAACTACTCGATGTGTTACTATTTCTATCTCTCAGTGTGTTGGAATGGAATGGGATATGGAATTTGCAATATTTCGCACTCTTATTTTGAATTCCAAATGACAATGATTGTTTTACGTGGCATCTCGGTTTTTAGTCCCATCCGAATTACTAGGCGCTCTTCCTTAGCGGCCATATTTTGGAATCAACATATGTTCTTCAACCGTGGGAGGACGCCGGATGAGCTTGGGAAATATCGGCCACTTGACACAGTGACAAACCTTATGGTTTAAAGCACAGTTGTTAGACCACTCGCCCCCCCCCACTCACCCACCACCAAAACTTTCAGCCACGTCCTTGTGTAATCTCTCAGGTAGAGGCACCTTGAATTCAACGCGATTTTGCATTGAAAATATAGATGGTATAACCATAGTACATAAGTACTGATAAAGAAAGGGGCGGGGGTGGATGGCCGAATGGTTAGCACGCGCGCGCTGTATCATACGGTCTGTCATTGAGTCAGCTGGTGGGGTTTTGATTCCCCGGTTGTACGTGACAAGTGGTAGGGTCGCCTGTCCAACCTCGTGGGTTTTCTCCCGGTCCTCCGGTTTCCTCCCACTGTTAAAGACCCCTGCGCACAAGCGAATTATTGAAATAAAATTGAACCATGTGTTAGTCCCGAAATGACCTAGTTTGTGTCGGGTGGACGTTAAACCCTCCCCCTCTCTCTCTCTCTCTCTCTCTCTCTGATAAAGAATCGTTTTAAGAAGAGTTATTTACCCCTGCATTAGATTCCGACAAGATATTTTATGATTTCGCTCGCTTAGTCACAGCTTAATAAAGAGAATTTGCAGGTTACAGGCGCCTGTGGGTATATTCATAATATGTCTGTCTGTTTTCAAAAAGGTCAATGATCGCCCCCGGTCCATATATTCTTGCTCTGATAAATGTTGAAGCTAATTGAAGGAAAGAGACTGTGGCGATAAAACCGACTCATGTATACGTGTATATATATACACGCATACTCATGCTGTTCATCAAAACGCGCAAGGGTATGATTTTGTTTTCGTACCGAAAGGGGTATGCAAGATCGCCGCCCCTCCTTGCAGCTGTCCCGGATGCCTATAGCCAAATGACAATATATGCGCAGGGGTTGTTACTTGGGGGGGGGGGGGGCGGATTGCCCACAGTACGCCAAGGAGGTTGAGGAGGTGCCGCTATCGCCAGATTACATACGCTCACACCAGGGATCGAAATCACGACCGCCAGCGAGAGGTTACCTGTAGGCCAGGTCTTGACTTGGCCTAACGTCCGCTTCCACCTAGGGTGATGTCGCAGACAAGTGTTTCCTTGGAAACTTGCGAGAGCAGCCAGTTGTTAGACAGAGACTCGTCTAGCGTAGGTGGTTGGAAATAGATCGCGCCTTTTGAGTTACAGTAACCATTCACAGGCTCCATCCAAAAGCGGAGGGCCTGACAAGGACAGCTGTCTAGTCCTTCGCATGATACGAAAAACCGAGGTCCCGTGTATATATTGGAATGCACGTAAAAGATCCCCTGGCAGTTGGAATTCGATATAAGAGTAGACGATAGTGCTGCTGCCCGGGCAAAATTTCCCTCATAGCACACTGTATGGCGTATGCCCGTCTTCATTAGCCCAGTATAGGAACAGAACAGTAGGACGTTAAACCCCATTTCATTTCATTTCATTTCCACCCAAAAGGCGGTAGGCCTACAAGTAGTATAGGGTAGTGCATAATCTTTACCGTTGATGAGATGGCGTTCCTGTTAAGTTGTCTTATTTCCATCTTCATTGTCTTAGCGCACGCATAGGGTCTTTCCTGAGGGTGGAAACCGGAGTACCCGGTGTAAACCCACGAGGTTGAGAAGGCGCCCACACGCTCACTCTAGACCACTAGATCCCCCCCCCCCACAGGGGTTGAAATAGGTGCTCATTAGTGCTATAAATGTCGGGTGCTAATTGGTGCTATACATGTAGTTGCTAATTGGTGCTATGCATGTAGTTGCTAATTGGTGCTATATGAACTAATAGTTGTTGTTGTTCTTAGCGTCTAACGTCCGCTTCCACCGATGGTGATATCGCAGACAAATTGTCATATTTTCCTGTGGGAGGAAACCGGATTAAATCTACAAGGTTGAGAATGCGCCCCTATCTCCAAGCCACATACGCTCGGAACCACGACCTCAAGGTCAACTAGAAGCGCGACACTCTAGATCACCAAGACATCCAATTGCCCCCTCTGAGTAATAGGGGCTATTATTAGCTTATATTCTCATTTCGCTTCTCTTTATATTTGTGGAAACCGCGGTGGCTCAGTTAGCAAGACGCTGGCTCGCTTACCTGGAGGTTTCCCATTGTCAGTGGGCAAGGCAAGGACAGTGTCTAGTCGTTCAGGTGGTCCCCGTGTATACATCAGCGTGCATGTAAAAGAACCCTTGCCAGTTGGAATTTGAGATAAAAATAGGCCGAAGTCGCGCTGTCCCGGCAAAATTATCCTCATGCCACACCATATGGTGTATACCCATCTTAATTAGCCCAGTCGATGCAGAACAGTAGGACGTTAAACCCCATTTCATTTCGTGCTGCCTTCAAGGGAACGTGATATAGTAGTAAATATTATGCAACTACGTCGTTAAGCCACCCCACGTGGAAGTAATTATTAAGTAATCAATATAAAAGTTTAATCTGCTTTCGTGTATATACAACACCTGGGCAAGTATGTCAACACGTGGCGCCCGCCATTGTTTAAGTTCGCAACCCGAGTAACTCATTATCTAGTAGATCAATATAATATAACTCACATCTACGTAAATAATAACCTGTCAAGCACATAAATAAAAAAAGAGAAATTTTAATGTCTCTTCGACATTTTAACTACTTTAATCCAGTCATTAATAATCTCTATTAGATAGAGGGGGTGGAGGGGGCGAAGACCTTGAACATCCATTTAACGGCGGGGACTGCGGTCATCCAAACAAAAAGTGAAATTAAAAAAAAAATTAAAGAATGAAATTAAAGCGGGCTGACAAGGAATGTTCTGCTCGGTCCTTCGGGTTCTATGATAAAACTCGAGTTCGATCTGTGTACAAAATTTGCTGTGCACGTTAAAGAAACCGTGAAATTCGAAATTTCAGGAAGATTGGGCAATTACGAAACAATCTTCTCCCTGACATCGCGGAAGTGGCTATAGTAGATTATAATAACCTTACAATGGCCGATGGCAAGAACGGCTGTGTTGGTGGGACGTTGGTGGGATGTTAACCGTCATCCACTGCGTATGCAAAATGGACTATGGACTTATTGAGGACCGTGAGCAATGTTTGGGTTCTCATCACCGAAGTCTGTTCGCGTACCGTGGGCAGGCAGACGTTTCGTCATGACTTTAATAGTGTCTCTATAAAAACACGAGCAAGGGCCACCCGAGTCTGTGATAGAATTCTCGGTGGAAGCGGGCGTTAAGCTCGAAAGCAACAATAGCCGCATGAAAAGTTTGAGTTGGTTCTAAAGTTTTGTTTCATTTTACCTTTTCGGTATATATGATTTAAACAATATTTTATTCAAATAAGATAAGTGTTGTATACATATACAATTCTGAAGGTAAGGATTCAAAAACAAGCCAAGGCTTATATTAATTCGTCTCCTTATATATTAAGTATACTACAAATACAACTGTGATATATACACTTCTCATACAAATACATTTAACGGTACAATATTTAATATTCACACTAATCGTGCATGCAAGTAATTTAACAGTTAGTGTCACTTACATTGCCTTACTATTTCATAATACGCTTGCCTTGCATCATGTTTTGTGGACGTCAGATGTATATTAACCGAAAAGTAATTAATTTAGATGGTATTTTACGATGGTTATTGTAGTCTTTTAGATAAATGTATAAATGTGTGGACTGTATTGAAAATGTGCGTATTTATTTGTAAGGTATTATTGCTATCACCATTGGTTAACGTTTGTAAGTTAATAAAAATATTTGGTAATGTATTTATAGTTTGGAATCTAACATTGGTAAATTTTGGACAATATAATAAATAATGTTCCGTATCCTCTATGTAGTGGCCACATGAACATGCTGGGTTGTCCGTTAAGTGCATGACGAATTTATGGTAGTTTAAGTTACTTTTATTGTGACGCAGTTTTGTATGGATTATTTGAGAAGAACGCTTTCCGGTGTAAAAATATTTAGGTACTAATTTATCATCATTGGTTAACTGTGCTTTAAAAAGTTTTATACTAGGGCATGCTTTCATATGCTCGGGTAAATTATTCCAGTCTTTTATTACGGACGGTAAAAAGGAGTTTTTATAAAATGTAGTATTAGCAAAAATATTTCTATATAGTTGTGAATTCCGCGTTTCGTAAGGGTTTACGTCCGAAGATTTGTGAGGAACTAGAATAGACAAGTAACCTGGAGTTATTTTATTCAC